TTTTCCACTCAGCCACCGGGTCTGGATCCTTGTAAAACTTACCCAAAAATGTTTTGCGGACTTTAGAGTTCGATCTTTGTCAATGCAGAGATTGTTCCCACTTATAAATGGAACAAACGAGTCATGAGAGGGCCAAACTACAGAGTCTCGACTTCTCAAAAAGAGCCCAGAAATCGGTTTGAGCTGCGCAGGGAGATCACACACAAACAGAAGGTCTCGCTCTTTTCCTTTGGAGTTTGTTTACGTTTTTCAGTTGGGTTCGACGTCACAGTGCGACAGCTGGTGCCCGTACATGCTTTACTGTCGGTTGCCATGGAGACGCTCTGCCTGGTCTCTCTCTGCTTCCTTTGCAGATAATGTAATAATGCAAGTGCTTTCGGACTCGTTCAGAACGCTGGTCCATCCTCCTCACAGACCCACATTCAGTTCATTTGCCGTTTGCAGTAAAACCCCATTGGAATACACAAACGAGAGTCCCCCCAGTGTGCAGCAGAGAAGGACATACATTAAACAAGGTTAAAAAGTACATAAATAATTGTCACTATGAAAATTATGTGTCTGCTTTGTCTTCCTGTGTTTACTATTCTATATTCTAATCTATTATTATTTTGACTTTGCAATATGACTGTTTCATTGTTTATTATGCTGATTTTTTTTTTTTTAATCATTATTATATAGGAACATGATTTCCTCCAGGTGCTCCGGTTTCCCCTACCACCCAAATACATGTGCAATAACTCCGAAAGTAACGAGTGAATGGATGTTATTTGTAGAGAATGGAAAAGCGCTTTGAGTGACCCTGGTCTGTATAATGCGCTATATAGATAAACATGACTTACTTACCACACTCTCTCTCTCTGCATTAGCCTGAGTGACAGTGACGGTCACAGGAGAGAGGATTGGAGCTGACACCTCTCTAGGATCAGGTCCAGATCCAGATCCAGGTCCAGGTGAGGCCAGACCGAGGGCTTAGAGAGGCCCAGGACATGTGCACAGGACTCAGACAGAGATGGATCAGAAAGAGAGAGAGATACAGAGAGAGAGAGGACTCAGACAGAGATGGATCAGAAAGAGAGAGAGAGAGATACAGAGAGAGAGAGGACTCAGACAGAGATGGATCAGAAAGAGAGAGAGAGAGATACAGAGAGAGAGAGGACTCAGACAGAGATGGATCAGAAAGAGAGAGAGAGAGATACAGAGAGAGAGAAGACTCAGACAGAGATGGATCAGAAAGAGAGAGAGATACAGAGAGAGAGAGGACTCAGACAGAGATGGATCAGAAAGAGAGAGATACAGAGAGAGAGAGGACTCAGACAGAGATGGATCAGAAAGAGAGAGAGAGAGGACTCAGACAGAGATGGATCAGAAAGAGAGAGATAGAGATAGATACAGAGAGAGAGAGATTGATACAGAGAGAGAGATAGATAGATACAGAGAGATCGATACAGAGAGAGAGAGGACTCAGACAGAGATGGATCAGAAAGAGAGAGATAGATACAGAGAGAGAGAGAGAGAGATAGATACAGAGAGATAGATACAGAGAGAGAGAGATACAAAGAGATAGATAGATACAGAGAGAGAGAGGACTCAGACAGAGATGGATCAGAAAGAGAGAGATAGAGATTGATACAGAGAGAGAGGACCCAGACAGAGATGGATCAGAAAGAGAGAGAGATAGAGATTGATACAGAGAGATACAGAGAGAGATAGATACAGAGAGAGAGAGATACAGAGAGAGATAGATTGATACAGAGAGAGAGATAGAGAGATTGTTAGATACAGAGAGAGATAGAGATTGATACAGAGATTGATTGATACAGAGAGAGATAGGACTCAGACAGAGATGGATCAGAAAGAGAGATAGAGATTGATACAGAGAGATACAGAGATAGATTGATACAGAGAGATAGAGAGATTGATAGATACAGAGATAGATTGATACAGAGAGATACAGAGAGAGATAGGACTCAGACAGAGATGGAGCGGGTGGAGTTTGAGAAAAGGTGGAACTAACACATAATTTGTCCATGTCACACACATGCATCTGTGCAGCACGGACAAAGTAAGTCATGTTTTTTATATAGCACATGTTTACAGACCGAGGTCACCCAAAGCACTACAAGGGCGGAGCAAACCTACAACATGCCTGGAGAGCATGCAAACACCACTCAGAAGGGCCCTGTTCCGATCGGGATTCGAACCTATGACCTTAGTTAACTACTTACTAACTAAAAGAAGGAAGAATCTTATGTACTCCTGTCTCCCAACATCACCAACGTATAGCATCAAATTAGTCTTAACTATGAACAACTTCAGCAATGATTAATTTAATAATAATGTACGCAACTTTTTATGTTTTGCCGATTTTGGTTCTCTATAAAAAAAAACGGGGACCTCACTTTTCAAGAGACTACAATTACAACTACAATTTGCCCCTTTCTGTCTCTGTCATCCCTCTCTCACTTGGTACGCTACAATAATAATAATGCCTCGGTTTGTGACGTTTTATCGGACGCTAACATTTGCCGACCGCCACCGACCAGTCACACGGTCACTTCCTTGCCTCTAAATAACAATTGTTTAAGGCAGGGGTGTCCAAACATTTTAATAAGAGGGCCACTTTAGCTAACCAGACTTGTCCAGGGGCCGACAACCCCGAATGTATGAATGTTTTGATTGGATTATGATCTTTAGAATGACCTGTGACAGATCCGAAGAATGAGCAGTGACCGTATCACCGGTTACATTAGCGCTACAACGACATTTGCTAACACAATCACATTTCAGTCTCCAAATCAACGGCTGAATTGGTTTTTGAGTGAGGTACATGTTTGTCTAAAAGAAAGTTGGCTGGATGACACTGGGAATTTGTGTTTGTGATCTCACACTTTAAGCAAGGTAGAGGGCCGCATAGAATGGTAGAGAGGGCCGCAATTAGCTCGCGGGCCTTAGTTTGGACATGTCTGGTTTAAGGAGTCTAGCGTCCGTCATCCCCGTGTGTGAATGGGAAGTACTCGTTACACTAATATTGTAAAGTGCTTTGAAATGTGCTTGATCATTCAGTACGACTCACTAGTACTTACTGATAAAATACCCCAGAGACAAAATATCGTTTCAATCACTTTTAATGGCAAAACGTCGCCAAAAATCGTTGTATTCTCTTTATATCAAAAAGACATCTTACATCGACACAACAGAGACCGTATAAATTACAAGTAGACTGCACCAGAAATATATAAATCCACTTAAATAAGAAAAAGTAACAGTTTCTACAATAAAACTCTCACGTATCACAGCCATATATACAGTTCGAACGCCTGGCATCGCTACACAAGTCAATATGACTCAAAAAAACGGGTTCAAATCTCCGAAATATAATACGTTATTTATATCTGTACATTTGGTCACATTCAGGCTTGGAAAAAGTTCACAATCTATTTCATACATTTGGAATATTGAGCTTAAACCACTTCAAAGCTTGGGGACCTAACCTTCTTTTGGATTCGTGAATACCGTACGACGCAATTAAAGCTGAAAGATTCTCGACAACGTAAAATGTGTGCAAGCAGACAACCTCATTTCATCAGAAAATATGTTATCTGTTTTGTAAGTGAGTCCCTTTGAGTCGCTTTTTGACTCTTTGGGTTGAGAAAGTGTGGTCATATATATATTTTTTAATTTCTCTGCGAAATCTGAAAGACGCAACAGATGCCACAAAAATCTACATGTTAAAACTAGCGACGGAACCCAGCTGACTTTTGTTGTGGTTTCAAAGTTAGGTACCCCAGCATGAAGTTGGCGATCTACAGATATTTTTCCTTCAGAACAAACATGCCTGTGTAACATTACAGACAGAGTGAAAACAGAACATGTGAGAAGCGACGGTAACGTTTGCAAAAGCTGTGAAAAGTCCATTTTGCGTGTGTTACGTCTGCTTTAATGCTACATATAGTTTAGTTTGGAAGCAGCTCCTGATGCGTTCGGAGCCGTTTGTGCGGATCGGAAAAAATTCGGCACCTCTCTGCGCCAACGAGACTGGACTTGTTGGCTTCGTTTGGGCCCCGGGGCCAGAGAAACTTGTCCCGTCTTGTCTCCAAATGGCTGGAATCACACTTGGGCCCTTAAGACTTGAGTTTCAGTCGTGGCGTTTACATGGGCAGAGATTATGGACCGAACTGAACCCAAACTGGTCAGACCTCTCCGGTTCCAGTCTACATGCTGTTTGAACGTTGAATTGTAGTAAACGTAAGGAATAACTGAAAGGAACTGGAGAAATTCCCAAATTTTGTGGCAATACTTTTGTTGTAATAGGCATAAAGCAGCTCTGTCCGAGACGTCTTTCTCTACGGATTTAGACGTTTTTGTGCCAGAGGGGTTGATTTAATCGCCAATTAATCACTCCAGGACCCTCATCCACTAAACCTTTACTATAAATGTACTCACAAGCAAAACAACAACTTCCACAAACTTCTTGACTCATCTCTGAAAGATTCTGCACTTCAGAATTTCAGTTTTTGGATCAAATCACTCATTTATAACAGTTTTTTTCATAAATCCTTAATGTGGAAGACGTCGTAGGTAACATTATTGCTCAGATACATTTTAAAAAGAGGCCCCAGGTGTGTTTTGGATGTGGGGACAATGTTATAAGAAGCTCAGCATGTCTCCCTTAAGACTTAGTTGCAAATAAACTGCATATATTTTGTGGTGTAGCTTTTAGTTTCACTTTCAACATTGCGACGCGGTCAGTTTGCCGCAGATAGACTGGACTCTATCGTTGCTGCTGATGTCAAAACAACACCCTGTACCATCTGCTGGACCAGTTGGGGCTACAAGCAACACCCTTTGGAGCTAGAAATCTGCAGTTTGGGCGTCAACTCGGTCTACGTCATCAAGTTCATGCCTCGTTCTTTGACTTCTCCGCTTCTCTTCGGTGCTTTTCAGTCCAACAAGCACTTTGCGACAGTCTTGTGTAACAATTGTCTTTGCGTCCGTTTTTCTCACTGCCGGATCTCGGTTATGGCGGCGGGAGCTATCTGTATGCTAGTCGACCTCAGCGGGTAGTAGCGACCGCGCCAACTCTTCCAGAACAGACTCTGCTTCCTCTGGTGCCGCTGTTTGGGAGGCGGGCTCTGGAAGTATCGGCCGTTCAGGTTGGACTGGCCGCATCTGCTGAACCACCATCCGCCTGGAAGACAAGAAGCAGCAAAACGTCAAGGTTGGAAGCTAACCCATGCAAAAGAAAGCGTAGAGAGAAAGCTTTGGTAAAGTCTGAACGCTTGTGTAAGGGATTAAGATTAAGAAGCGGGGAAATGAAGTTATATATAGAAGCGTTATCCCAAAACTATTTTACAATCCATCAGTTTTCTTATTATCTACCTTTCAATGAAGCCGTAGGGATTTCAGAAATAGAACCTCTGTGATCAATCTAGTTCTGGCTAACAGCGAGATCGTTGTGATGAAATATTCGTCACTGAACGCAAAGTCTGGTACACACTGTGGGGTAGTCTTGCACAGTTTTTCCGATGTGGTTTTACTGAAAATGGCAAATAAATTCTTAAAGTCCGAGAACTACAAGACATGCGTGTTGTGCGTTTAGTTTTAGCTCTTGGACTTTGCGTTCCACAACAACATTGCCTCACGGTCCTAGTGGTTCTCACTTCGCTTGTCAAAAACCAAGACCTGTGCGCACCCTGCTGAAATGGTTCATGGGATACGGAGTTTTTAATAATCACGAAACAATACTACACAGCCTTTTACCTTTGCCTTTTCTTCAACATTACTTTTTGGATGAGATATAACATTTCATGGACAGAAATTGTTGCCATGCTAACTAGCTTCTTTAGGCTTTTTGGAACCTGGCAACTGGATCGGGAGAGGCAAGACAATGGTGCAAAGTCTCACCGGAGAGGTTCATGGCACAGTTGGTGTCGCTCTTGCGGTCGTTGTCCTGGTCGTACGTGGAGAAGGGCAGTCCGTCGGCAGTGTCCCGGCCCAAGGCGCTCTCCACGGGGCTGAAGGGACCCTCTTTCTTCAGCTGCAGTGAGTATTTGGTCTCTGGTCCGCCCAGGTTGAAGGGCAGCTTCAGGCTCGCCAAGTCGCTGTTCCAGTCGGTCATGGAGATGTCCAGGATGTAGCCCCCGCTTTGGGCGATGGCGTGCATTTTCTCCAAACCCAACCAGAATTCACCTGATGAGACAACGTCAAAGTTAGTTTAGAGATTCAAGATTGCGGGAATAACAGCATAAACAACATTTGTGATAATTTAATCCAAAATCTTCCGTCGTTAATCAGATGTAAACAATTGTGTGTTGTATGTATTGTGTCTCTGTGGTTAGGAGTGTTGCATTTTTACCAGTATTTAAAATGCTAACTAGGCCGTACTGTAAACCTGCTTAGCTTGTTGCTATGTCCGGGATGGTGAGAATGAATTAAGAAATCCCATTTAGTGACCCAAATCTAACATGGCGTGGTCTAAATTAAGATTAGGCCCTTGTAAAGAATATTTTTTGACTTGATAAATTTACAAAAACTTGGAGGAAGTACATTATCTGAGGATTCATCATTGTTTAAGAACATTTACACAGAAGGGACGGGGGGATGTTTTTGTGCTTGAAATAGATAGAAACAAGTCTGTTTTTTAATCAAGGAATCAACATTTCTCTCTTCAATCTATTCCTTCAGATTTAAAACCATATTATTTAGTCTTTTTGCTCATGACATTGAGTCTTCTTCGTCTTCGTCAATATTTATAAAAAACAGTCTCGTTATCGTTCCTCGACAGTCGGGACCGGGCTGGGAGCAGCTAATCCGCGCCCGGGAGATGCCTCAAAGCGTATTTACCGTTCAAGTTGCCAAAGCCGTGCTCGTAGGCTTCCCAGGGCTGATGGAAGTCGACAGAACCGTCCTGTCTCCTCTGGATCACAGTCCATCCGCCCGCTGCAGAAGAAGAAGAACAGTTTAGACTTTTTTTATCTTTAAAGCAGCACATTTTTCCATTACGGACAAATCAAAGGACCACGGACAGGCTTTTATGGCAAGAACGGTTGTAAAAGGTTGCGTTTAACGGACGGTTTTGGCTCCAGTCAGGATTATAGCATAACATTGTGGTGTGAAACGGCACCGATAACACATTTTATTGTGTTGTAAAAGTGTAAATACATAGGAAAAGTACAGGACAGTGGCGCCTTTTGGACCAATGGCGTTATGTGTTTTAATCATTGCATTTCCTGTGTTTAAACTGCTTGATTCTCTGATCTGTGTTGGCGAATCAACAGCTTTGTAAAGTCAAGATAAGTTGTGATTTAGGGCTATACAAAAACAAATTGAATTGAATTGATAATCCTTCATGTCACTGTCTTATCTGCGCTAATTCATCAGAAAATCCACCTCGACCGCAAAGTAATCCTCATTGGGCCGCATTTAGCCCCCGGGCCATACTTTGGACATCCCTAAATGTGCGTCCACAACAGTTTAGATTACGTTTCCATCGGTCGCAGCTGGGGTCAGGCAGGATTACTTGTACTCACCAGAAGTAATCTCACAGTAGACTCTGAAGGGCTCGGAGTTCAGCGGTTGGATGGTGTAGACGCCGCTCGCCGTTTGTCCTTTCAGGAACAGTTCGTGACAATCCGCCGCCGTGTCTGCAACGAGAGAAAAACAGATTCCATTTCAGATGTGTTCGAGAGAAAATCCATACTTTTATAATTCAGTGTATTCTAAACGTGCTCTTATGTCCGCAGGCTTTTTGAGGTTTTTTGAGTTTAGACCGATTCATGTGTTGCATTATAAAGAATAGACACAGGCATTTTGGCACCATTGAAAGGCTGAAACCGGTGGCACTTCTCATCTGAAGGGTGTGCGAAAAAATGTATTGCTTTTTGGACAAATATCTTAACAACAATTTTTAGATTAGACACAATACATTTTTATTTAGTCATAATAATTGCGTCTTTTAAATTTTTTGGGGTTTTTCTTGTATTAAAAAACTTTTATTTTATTTTCTCATTTCTTTATTGTTTTGACTTCAACATAATTCATCTATAAATGCATTAATATTGTCTAAACGGGCAATTTTTTAAAATATTTTTACTGAACCGCATTGTTTAGAAATATATCAAATTGAACGATATATCAGAGATCTGTATCGTGATTCCTCGGCTCTGAATCCTCGTTTACCACGGTTCTTTTTGTCTTTTTCTAAGTAGAATAAAGTAATTTTCTTCTACTCAGAGCGTTGCTTCAAAACAATAAAAATCTGTTTTTTTATTGGATTTGTACCAACACCAAGCTTAAAATATCTTCCCGCCTAAATTCGCACTTTGTTTTTGCTCGCTGACTTTCAATCGTGTCTGAATCTGGGCCAGACTTCTTTGAGGCGGTTTTTGTTTTCCGCTTCAGTCTGTGCTCCTCTCGCCTCCCCTCGTTTTTGAAAGTGGGTCGTTCCAAAACTGGGTTCGGCCTCAAAACCTCCACGACGTGTTTGTTTCTCTGCACTATCGAGCAAAGTCTGACGTTATCACTGAGTCTGCGATAACGTCTTCACAACATTTGGTTTCCACCTTTGTCCCAGTTCCCAGCCGCCTCAGTCTCTATCTCTCTGGTTTATCTCTCTCTGGTTTATCTCTCTCTGGTCTATCTCTCTCTCTCTCTATCTCTCTCTGGTCCCTCTCTGGTCTCTCTCTCTCTCTCTCTCTCTTTCTCTGGTCTATCTCTCTCTCTCTCTATCGCTCTCTGGTCTCTCTCTGGTCTCTCTCTGGTCCCTCTCTGGTCTCTCTCTGGTCCCTCTCTGGTCTCTCTCTCTGGTCTCTTTCTGGTCCCTCTCTGGTCTCTCTCTGGTCTCTCTGGTCTCTCACTTTCTCTTTCTGGTCTCTCTCTCTCTCTGCAGACTATGAGGTAGTGCATTCCTCTCCCCCTCCCTCCCTCCCTCCCTCCCCTGTAGATTCTTGGGGGCCTGTCACTCGCGGTTCACGTGCCTCGCGGTCGCCTGGTGAGGGAGCAGCGCGTGAACGGTGCATGGCCACCGCATGGCATCAGGGGGAGGGAGAGGGGGGAGGAGGGGGGAGAGCACTGCAAAAACTCATCCATATGAAAGTAAACGCATGGATGTGGTTTTTATCCGGGTTCGTCCTCAATCTTTTAAATGTCACAGTCAAATCAAGCAAGATCAAATTTTAAATAGTCAAAATTTTTACAAATAATTTGCCATAATTTACCATAAAAAGTACTATTATTCCGTGGTTTTAAGTGTGTTAAAACAAGAAACTAACTCTAATCTGTTTGATTATGGAGGACACGGACTTGGCTCAGGTCACCGCAGGATCCAGGTTTTTCGCGTTTGGGAAAAATACAATCCTTCAAGACAAATAGTGATGAATAAAAGGTCAAAAACTTGCCTTTAGCTCAAATCTAAAATGTCCTGTTTCACTAAATGACTTCATCTTAGTCGGAATTTATCATTTGTAAAATAAGCACAGAGTGGGCGGGGCTATGCTGGCTTTGAAATGATCACGTTCAGAGGACACCACTGGGGATTTAGACAGAATTTACCATAAAAAGTACTATAATTGTGTGCTGATATTGAGTAGACGCTGGTGAGACCGTTTTTAACAGTCATAACTCAAATGTTTTTAATGGACCTAGACTCAAAAGTTGAAATTATCTTCTCGTTTCTCTGGCACTTTGATAAAACCCAGATACTTTTGTTTTGCCTCCAGCTGATTGTCCAGACTCAGGGAAACACTGACATCTGAGAAGTGCCATTTAGAAGTGGTTTTCAGTCTCGGTGCCAAGTGTTTTACTGAGTTTTTTGGGTGCGGACAAAATAATGGCTCCTAATGTTAATAATCTAATGTTTAAATATATAGAAATACATTATTTTTAGTATTGTATCTTTAATTGTGCTCCTAGTGTCAGATGTATGAGCCACAGTGATTTAAAAATACCTTAAATAAAACATTTTTGAGCTGATTTTTGATGATATTTCCCACGTTGACCGACCTCTGAGTCATTTAGACCCTAATTTTAGATATTTTTTTCCCATTTTTATTCATCTGTGGGTGATTTTGACCTGAGGGAAGCACAAGTGTTCCCCCCAGTTAAAAAACAACCAGGATTATTATCAGTTTTTTTCTGTAAAGGGGCAAAGAAGCAGCAATCTCTACTTTTTTGCTAATCTGTTTTTGACATTGTTTTGATCATTTCTAAATATTGTATTGTTATTAAGTGATGGACCCGGAGAGATGAGTCAGTACTTTGGGGCCGACTGAAATGAAACTATAGCAAATGAATACATCAGACTCTTAAAAAGTCAGCTGTAAATTCTCTCACTGTGAAAAAATGCTACTGCTACGTGAGAACAATCATAGCCATGGACGGGGGTGGGTGGGGGGCAGGGGGGGGGGGGTCTGTCTGTGTCCAAACTGGGCCAAAGGTAGCTCCATGACTGCGGTTCAGGAGTGGGAGGAGAGTTGGAAGTCTGTACAAAGGTCCCTGGATAAATATAGCCTCAGTTCTCCTCATAAATTGACCCTTTTTTTTTTCTTTAAATAGTGTTAAAACTCCCCCTTCCTCCCTCCCTCACCCGCCCCTCGCCCCCCTCTCTCTCCCAGCCTTTGGTTTGTAATCCCCCCATGGGTTTTCTGACCCTTGCGAGACCGGCGAACCTTCCCCCAGTTGAGACATGGCCAAAGAAATTAGCGTTTTTGTTTCTTTCTCCCTGAAGCTGATGTCACAGAGAAGGCCTGTTGCAGCAGCAGCAGCAGCAGCAGCAGCAGCAGCAGTGGGTGAACTCTCCTCTACTTTCACCTCGGAGCCAATTTCTAACTTGATATTAGGTGACTCTCTGTTTGATTAACCAGGACATGGACTTAGCTCAGGTCACTGCAGGCTCCATCGTTCGAGGCAAATAGTGATGAATGAGAGGTCAGAAGTTCCACACGTAAAAGACAAAATATATCTGGATTTGAAGGTTTTGTAGAGAATTCACCAATGGATCAAAGAGTTGCGTCTACTTTAATCCACTTTTAAGATCAGAAGCATAATTTTATATCCTTATATGTTTGGCCTCCATTGAGAAATTTAGTTTGAAGACCAAAAAGTCTATAAGAACCATTTTGTTCAAGCCATAACTTACATTTTTTTCAAGAATTTTATGTTTTGGATCTTGCATTTCTCAAAGCAAGATACATTTTCAGTACAGTTTTTCTTTTCTTACAATTAACAACACAGAGTAGTAGAAAAATAACTTTTTTAAGACCGTCCTATAATCCGATTTTATTAGAATTTGCTGTTTTTTTCCCCCAAGAAGTTATTTTTTACAAATACATTCACTCGTTAGTCCACGCCATTAATTTGACTCTTGCCCATTGTTTAAAACCCATCATAAATTCACCCATAATTTAAAATAATAATATTTTTCTTGTATTTGTCCATTTTTAAGGTGTTTTTCCCTTTGCGCCAAACTCCCCAAAAAACTTGCCAGTGTTTTTCCCGCACTACCAAGCCCTTAACTAAACTACACCGCTTATTTAATGAGTTTATAATTTAAAAAGTACTGTAGAAGTTGCCATTTTCGTTCCGCACTTATTTTTTGTCTTGGGCCCCCCATTCTCTCGCCCTCTCGCCCCCCCCCCCACCGCTACGGCCCTGCTCCAACACCACACACTCCAATGAATTAATCCACTAAATACCGTGTGACGTCCCGCTGCTTTCCCTCTAATCGATTCTTTGACTTTAATTGCTGACGATCTAATCTCCGGTATTTACGCAAACAGATGGCCTCCTCCACCTTCAGCATGAGTAAGATTTCTCTGGATTAACCCCGGACTCTTGGGTGAAGAGTTTTGGTGCTCACCGGCCACTGGGGAGTCGCTCTGCTCCATCACGGCGCTTCTCTTGTCGTTGCGAGGGGCTTCTACTCTCTGTCTCGACTGCTGAATCTGGAAAAACAAGCCGCAAATTCAACGACAAGAACTAAAAATGTCGCAGAACAAAACTTTGCGTGTCTGCGTTTGGTCTGTACCTGTGTTTGCAGAGTCCGAATGCGAACGTTTTGCTTGTCGAGTTTCTCCTGCTGCAGCCGTATCCGCTCCATCAGATCGTCAATGCGTTTGTTTTGAGCTTCCAGCATCATCTGCAAGACACAAAAGAGAAAGTACAGACTGTTAAAGCTGAGATATGTAACTTTTAAAAGCACAGAAACTTAACTACAGTCGTGAAAAATCAGTCGCTCAATGTCAAAACAGCACTAGTTTGCATATTTACAAGTATTTTTCAGCCTCTTTCACTGCTTTGAATCTGCTTTTTCGGGTAGAAATGTGAGAAAAAGAGAGGACCGCGATCACTCAGCCAATCAGCTCTCAGCCCAAAGAGTCAAAAGGTGACTCACAGGGCTCTTTCTTACAAGTATACAAACAAAAACATAAAATTTTTGCTGTTATGTGTGTAGTTTGATTGCATTACAGACTCTATAGGTTCATTTTAAAACACAGTCAGAAAAGTGAGGCCTTGCTTTTACCCTTTCAGACTCTTTCTCTGCTGCGTCAAAACTTAAGTACCCCAACTTTAACACGGCTTGCCTTCTTCAAAGCCCTTTCTCTCCGTTACACATGCGACGTCGGTTACATAACTTGCTCCAACGCTGTAAATCTCTCCGCTACAAGAACAGTATTCAAAGTCCATGCCAGTATTGTACCACTGTGGACCTTCTGATGTCGGGGGCTGGATTCGCTTCACGATCTGCACGTACTGCACGCTCTCTCTCCTCACGGGGGATTACAAGACCCCAACCCCCTTCTGTTCTCCCCGTACCCCTGCTGTTTACTACAACGTCTCTCAAAAATGACTTATGACAACGTCTATGCAACACTACCGCCTCATACCATCGCCTTTACCGGCTCTCTGCAGCTATATATCATGTTGGAATGAGATTAACTCGGGTTATAATCTGGCGTTTAGAGTCTGGGCCGAGATATTTGACTTCTGACACCACCTGCGTTTGTCTTCTTGGACTGGCTTCGTATGGAGACCAGATGGCGAGATGGAATCCTAGCAGCCTTGTGAATGCATTTCCACAATCCCATGTCACTTCTGCAAACTGTAATCCCATTGTCTAAGCTAACTCTTATGTGTCTGGATAGAAAACGAACCGAAAAAAGCGCTAATCCGGTTTTTGTTGCAGCGTGATGTCATTCATTCTAATACCATCGATACTGTTCGTTTCTGTGACTTTTGTGCTCTACTCCCGCAGCTACGTCTTTAAGCGGTGAGTAAGAAAGTGGCGAGCTAACCAGGGAGCACATATAAGCCACTCCAAAGTTAGCGTTTACAATAGTCGTTGCAGCTGTGTCAATTATCGTTCAGGTTTTTCTTTGCTAGCCATTTCAAATCTTGTGCTGTACTGACTTTACGTTATAAAAATGACAGAAAATGACGTTGTTTGCTTGTTTCTGTCGCTAACACTTGTAGATAAACTATTGTAAATATGTACGCTTGTGTAAAACCAAAGGGAGTAAACGAAAAACATATGAAGAAGTGGAAAGGAGGAGTGGGAATCAATCATGGATAATGTAAGTTTTTCATTGTGTGTTTGCAATAATCTAAAACTAACAACATTTTTCTAGCATTTGGTGAATTGGCGAGCTACTAATACTGCTTGAAACCGACAAAAACTTGACTAAAAATGTCCAAAGCTTTCTGTGATTGGACGAGATACAGACAGTCTATCTCTCATCATTTGGATCCAGAAACCTCGCCGTCTCACCTGCGTACTCTTGGCGTCCACCCCGTTCCTCTCGCCTTGCGCCAGCCCCTCCACCTTCTGCTCCAGCCGGGTCACCCTCTCCGCCGTCCTCCTCCGCTCCTGCTGCACCTCCTCTCTCAGCTCCACGCTCACGTTGAGGATCCGACCCTCTCGCTCCTCCAACCCGCGGGCCCTGGCCTTCAGCGCCTCCCCTTCCTGCTGCAACTTCTGGCTCTCCTTCCCCAGCTCCACCACGGTCCGGTTCAGGCCCTTGATCTTGCCGCCGATGTCCCGGACCTGGACTCTGGTCTTGTCCACGTGCTCCTTCAGACCCTGTCCCAGCTGGAGGAGGCCGTGGGCGAGGACATTGACGTCGTCCCAGGCGGCAAACTGGACTCTCTTCTCTTTGGCCCCCCCAGCCGGAGCCGGAGAGGCGCCTTTCCGCTCAAAGGGGAAGCCCGTGCTGAGCAGAGGGGCCATGCATATACTTAAGAACACCAGGCAGGTCTTCATGGTTCCTGGGTTTTTTTTTTTTTTGGGGAGGGAGTTTGGTTTTGGTTTGTTGAATGAGAGCTGAGGCTCCTGAGGTGTCTGTGTGCGGAGGCTTGGAGGGTTTTATAGGATCCGTGGCCGGGGGGGAGGGAGCGTCCCATTGGTCAGGAGGCAGGAGAGGGAGGGCGGGAAAAGAGAGATCTCCAGTTTCACTGTTTAAGGATTCATGGCACACGGAGGCGGCGGCTACGTGTCGGAACAAACACGCGAAAAGGCTTTCATCGCGGCAACAATGTGAGATCAGCTGCTGACGGAGAGTGGAGTCAGGACTTCATCTGGAGGATCATAAATGTTTGAGGATCAAGTTAGAGATTTTTAAAGATTTTATATTTGCTTCATCATGAGATTCAGAAGTAATAGACATTTTATAGATTTTACACTTGCTTCTTGAGTTAGATTTTATTTTAGTTTAGAGTTATTGTAACTGGTGATACAACACTGACATTTCCCCACCGTGTGACCAATAAATAATCTCTTTATCTTATAATAATAAAATCGCTCCCATCTCTGTGTGGAGTGAGAGACAAGTGCCCAAAAATAACAATTGTAAACCGCTTTGTGACTCTGGTCTGTGAAAGGCGCTATATAAATAAAGATTACTTATTTAAAATGTATATAGCACTTTTCGAGAACTCAAAGTTGCTAAAAATCTAAAAGCAGGAATGAAGAGTTGTATGATTGGAGGAAGAGGTGAGTTTTTAACTGTTTTTTTAAGGAGTTTAGTGAGTCCGAGTTTCTGAGGTGAGGGGGAAGAGAGATCCTGAGAGTTCCAGAGGGTTTCAGAGGTGAGGGGGGAGAGAGAGGTGAGGTGAGGGGGGAGAGAGCTCCTGAGACTTCTAGAGGGCTTCAGAGGTGAGGGGGGAGAGAGCTCCTGAGAGTTCCAGAGGGTTTCAGAGGTGAGGGGGGAGAGAGCTCCTGAGAGTTCCAGAGGGTTTCAGAGGTGAGGGGGGAGAGAGCTCCTGAGAGTTCCAGAGGGTTTCAGAGATGAGGGGGGAGAGAGTTCCAGTTCTAGAGGGTTTCAGAGATGAGGGGGGGGAGGGGGGAGAGAGTTCCTGAGAGTTCTAGAGGGTTTCAGAGATGAGGGGGGGGGGGGGTGGGTGGGTGGGGGGGGGGGGGAGTTTCAGAGGTGAGGGAGGGAGAGAGTTCCAGAGGTGAGGGGGGAGAGAGCTCCTGAGAGTTCCAGAGGGTTTCAGAGGTGAGGGGGGGAGAGAGTTCCAGAGGGTTTCAGAGGTGAGTGGGGGAGGGAGAGGTGAGGTGAGAAGGGGGAGAGAGTTCCAGAGGTGTGGGGGGGAGAGAGCTCCGGAGAGTTCCAGAGGTGAGGGGGGGAGAGAGTTCCAGAGGTGACGGGGGAGAGAGCTCCAGAGGGTTTCAGAGGTGAGAAGGGGGAGAGAGTTCCAGAGCGTGGGAGCAGAGATGGCTCGGTCTCCCAGGGTTTGTTGCTTGATTGGACAGTGGGACTGATGTTGGTCCGTTGTAGATCCAGGACTTTTCTGGACTTTGGTCTCTGCTCCTTATGGACCTCCGGCTCTATGAGTTATGATTGATTTTCTGATCTGTGTCGGCGAATCAACAAGTTTGTAAAGTCCTCCTGGAGAACTACTGTTGTGATTTAGGGCAATACAAAAATACAGTGAATTAAAGTGAATCTCTTTGTGACGGTAACAGCTCAGATCTGTCATGTCCAACCCGGGGCCCGCGAGCCGATTGTGGCCCCAAGTATCATATCATATGGTCCAGCCAACTTCAGCTCTGCCAACACGGTCATAGCACACCTCGTTGGAATCCCTAACCCTAACCCACTGCAAAAACTGATTTTCTTTCATCACTGTTTGCAGTATCACTTGTCATTCAGCCAACTTCAGCTTCATCAAACTTGAACCACTATAGACATGTCATACCTCATTTTAAAGCTCAGAAAATCCCGAATCCAGTCGTTCCAGTGTCGTCGGTCCCTGGACAATGTTGGTGAACAAGGTAAGTTTATATGTATAGCACAATTCATTCACAAGGAAAGTCAAAGTGCTGAACGGATGGCATTAAAATAAATAATCACAGTACATTGAATTATAGCGGGTATTTTTGGATAGCCCTGGGTTCACTGGAATCTTACTGGTCGACGTTAGACCAAAGAAAGGTATGAAGATATGATAAAACTTTATTTAGAGACCAGAGAGAGAGAGACCAGAGAGAGACCAGAGAGGGACCAGAGAGAGACCAGAGAGAGAGACCAGAGAGGGACCAGAGAGAGAGACCAGAGAGGGACCAGTGAGAGAGACCAGAGAAGGACCAGAGAGAGAGACCAGAGAGGGAGACCAGAGAGAGGGAAACCAGAGAGAGACCAGAGAAGGAGACCAGAGAGAGAGACCAGAGAGGGACCAGAGAGAGAGACCAGAGAAGGAGACCAGAGAGAGACCAGAGAGAGAGACCAGAGAGGGACCAGAGAGAGAGACCAGAGAGGGAGACCAGAGAGAGAGACCAGAGAGGGAGACCAGAGAGAGAGACCAGAAAGAGAGACCAGAGAGAGGGGCTGACTTTTTGGACAGTCCTGGGGGTTGACGTTAGACCAAAGAAAGGTATGAATTTATGATAAAACTTTATTGATCTGACAATGGAGAATAGTTCAAGTCACATTTGGCATAAACAGGAAATGTGCAAAGTGTAAAAAAGTTAAATACGGTCTCTTTTGTGCAAGGTAATTTAAATATATAAAAAATGAAAAGTGGAAGCAGCAGCGCAAGTTCACGTCAGTGTTTTGAATTTGTTATTGTTGACAAATACTTTCTGTACATGTGTCAGTAATCTCCGACCGGACGGCGTGTTTTGTTTGCGTGTTTAGTCTGAAGATAACTGAAGGACACGGCAGTTCTGTTCTGATGACGTCACTGCACCGGAACATGTGACATCACCTCCAACAATGCTTTTAACACCGCAGATTCCCAGAAGAAATGGAGAAGATGTACTTTCTGTGATATTACTCATGTATTTTCTGACACAGTAGTAGTAATAGTAGTAGTAGTAGTAGTAGTAAAAATATAGCCTCGGTCTTTCAGCGGGGGCTTCTGGCAACGTGGGGTTAAGTGTCTTGCCCAAGGACACACCGACAGCAGACATCAGTGGGAGCAGTTGGAGCACTCTCTCTTCTCAGTGAGAAAGTCCTGGGTTCGATTCCCGGTTGGAACAGGGTCTTTCTAAAGTTTGCATGTTCTCCCTGTGTCTGTGTAGGTTTCCTCCGGATGCTCCAGTTTTCTCTATCACTAAAAACATGCTCACTAGGTCAAATCCTCCAGCTCTGGTCCTGACCAAGCCGAGCATCAACACCTGGAGATGGGTCCCGGGCGCTGTTGCTACGGCGACCACTGCTCCTTGGTCCATAAAGGGGCGGAGACCAATGTCCATAAATGTTGATAGAAAATAAATGTTAAAGTCGTTAGTATCGGTTCATTTTTAGTTTCTCACAATATCTGAGACAGAGACGGTATTTTTGTCCTTTTGTGGTGTAATTCCACAGATATCCACCTTAAACCTGGTTCTGACAGCTCCTGCACTGACCTCAAATAAAGGTTTTTTTACTGAAACACGGTGACGTCACTCATCCTCCCCCTACTCCCCCCTCCTCCCCCTCTGGCCGCGGGGAGAGCCTTTCGTCAGCAGTTCTACACTTCACCTTTACCCCAGTTGGAGTGCGTGAGGTCGGGCACGTCACCGTGAAAGACCTGCTCCAGGAGGAGGGGGAGGAAGAGGGGGAGGAGGAGGAGAGGTGGGGGAGGGGGGGAAGAGGTGGGGAGGAGGAGGGGGGACGTGAACTTTCCCCCACTTCTCACAGTCTTCCAGCAGCAGCAGTGACAGTAGTAGTAGTAGTAGTAGTAGGGACAGTAGTATTGTTGTAGTAGAAGCTGAAGGACGTATAGCTCTGTTGCTATGACAACCGCACAATTCACTTGATTCTTGTATCGCCCTAAATGACGACAGTATTTATCTGTAATTGACAAAACCGTTGAAATCACCAGCACAAAGAATACAGAACACATGGTTTTGGACCAAATGGAGACACCAGCGGCCGAGAATGTGGTAGAATGTTAAATAAAAACGGCGTATTTTCTTCCTGCGCGACGTCGCTAGAATCAGTAATATCCTAAAAACTAATCCACACATTTATCACCTCACGGCCTGACTGCTGTAGCCCCCCCTGCTGGCAGCGTGCTCTAAATCTTCTACAAAGAGCTTCCACCTCTTTCAAATACAGCAGCAAGGATCTTAACGGGCACCAAAAGGGGAGAGCACATAACTCCAGTGTTAAATTCACCCCAGTGGCTTCTGGGAAATATAGAATTCCATTTAAAATCCTTCTTTTAACATACAAAACCTTAAAGGGCTCCTTCTCTCCTTCCTACTTTATCTGTCTGCATTATTAAGATTTTGACAGGGCGCGACTGTGTCTGTGTAGGTTTCCTTCAGGTGCTCCGGTTTCCCCTACCACTAAAAACATGGACAATAGGTCTGTGCCTCTGTACTGGCCCCTCCCATCTCTGTGTGGAGAGACAGACTAATGCCCACAACTGTAAACCGCTTTGACTCTGGTCTGTGAAAGGCGCTATATAAATAAATATTACTTACTGTAGTCTGTTCATTGCTATTCACCTGTTGTCCCATTGTCTGTTACAAGCACCCATCTGGGAGTTACCTCAGTCCTCGTTGGTGTCGTCCTGGGTCTACAGCCTCAGTCCTGGGTCTACAGCCTCACTCCTGGGTCTACAGCCTCAGTCCTGGGTCTACAGCCTCAGTCCTGGGTCTACAGCCTCAGTCCTGGGTCTACAGCCTCAGTCCTGGGTCTACAGCCTCAGTCCTGGGTCTACAGCCTCAGTCCTGGGTCTACAGCCTCACTCCTGGGTCTACAGCCTCAGTCCTAGATCTACAGTCTCAGTCCTGGA